ACCAACACATCACCATCTATCACTCACCAACACAACCACCAATCTATCACTCACCAACACACCACCATCTATCACTCACCAACACACCACCATCTATCACTCACCAACACACCACCATCTATCACTCACCAACACACCACCATCTATCACTCACCAACACACCACCATCTATCACTCACCAACACACCACCAATCTACCTCTCACCAACACACCACCATCTATCACTCACCAACACACCACCATCTATCACTCACCAACACCCATCTATCCACTCACCAACACACCACCATCTATCACTCACCAACACACCACCATCTATCACTCACCAACACACCACCATCTATCACTCACCAACAAAACCACCATCTATCACTCACCAACACACCACCATCTATCACTCACCAACACACCACCATCTATCACTCACCAACACACCACCATCTATCACTCACCAACACACCACCATCTATCACTCACCAACACACCCACCATCTATCACTCACCAACACACCACCATCTATCCACTCACCAACACACCACCATCTATCACTCACCAACACACCACCATCTATCACTCACCAACACACCACCATCTATCACTCACCAACACACCACCATCTATCACTCACCAACACACCACCATCTATCACTCACCAACACATCACCATCTATCACTCACCAACACACCACCATCTATCACTCACCAACACACCACCATCTATCACTCACCAACACACCACCATCTATCACTCACCAACACACCACCATCTATCACTCACCAACACACCACCATCATCACTCACCAACACACCACCATCTATCACTCACCAACACCAACCACCATCTACCTCTCACCAACACACCACCATCTATCACTCACCAACACACCACCATCTATCACTCACCAACACACCATCTATCACTCACCAACACACCACCATCTATCACTCACCAACACACCCCCATCTATCACTCACCCAACACACCCACCACTATCACTTCACCACCAACCACCACCATCTACATCACCACCAACACCCATCTATCACTCACCAACACACCACCATCTATCACTCACCAACACACCACCATCTATCACTCACCAACAACGCCATCTATTACTCCCCAAACACACCACCATCTATCACTCACCAACACACCACCATCTATCACTCACCAACACCCACTATCACTCACCAACACACCACCATCTATCACTCACCAACACACCACCATCTATCACTCACCAACACACCACCATCTATCCCCTCAACCAACACACCACCATCTATCACTCACCAACACACCACCATCTATCACTCACCAACACACCATCTATTACTCACCAACACACCCCCATCATCACCAACACAGCACCATCACTCACCAACACACCACCATCTATCGCTCACCAACACACCACCATCTATCACTCACCAACACACCACCATCTATCCTCACCAACACACCACCATCTATCACTCACCAACACACCACCATCTATCGCTCACCAACACACCACCATCTATCACTCACCAACACACCACCATCTATCACTCAACCAACACACCACCATCTATCACTCACCAACACACCACCATCTATCACTCACCAACACACCACCATCTATCACTCACCAACACACCACCATCTATCACTCACCAACACACCACCATCTATCACTCACCAACACACCACCATCTATCACTCACCAACACACCACCATCTATCGCTCACCAACACACCACCATCTATCACTCACCAACACACCACCATCTATCACTCACCAACACACCACCATCTATCCTCACCAACACACCACCATCTATCACTCACCAACACACCACCATCTACCTCACCAACACACCACCATCTATCACTCACCAACACACCACCATCTATCACTCACCAACACACCACCATCTATCACTCACCAACACACCACCATCTATCACTCACCAACACACCACCATCTACCTCTCACCAACACACCACCATCTATCACTCACCAACACACCACCATCTATCACTCACCAACACACCACCATCTATCACTCACCAACACACCACCATCTATCACTCACCACACACCACCATCTATCACTCACCAACACACCACCATCTATCACTCACCAACACACCACCATCTATCACTCACCAACACACCACCATCTACCTCTCACCAACACACCACCATCTATCACTCACCAACACACCACCATCTATCACTCACCAACACACCACCATCTACACTCACCAACACACCACCATCTATCACTCACCAACACACACCACCATCTATCACTCACCAACACACCACCATCTATCACTCACCACACACACCACCATCTATCATTTCACCAACACACCACCATCTATCACTCACCAACACACCACCATCTATCACTCACCAACACACCACCATCTATCACTCACCAACACACCACCATCTATCACTCACCAACACACCACCATCTATCACTCACCAACACACCACCATCTATCACTCACCAACACGCCATCTATCACTCACCAACACACCACCATCTATCACTCACCAACACCCCATCTACACTCACCAACACGCCAATCTATCACTCACCAACACACCACCATCTATCACTCACCAACACACCACCATCTATCACTCACCAACACGCCAATCTATCACTCACCAAACACCACATATCACTCACCAACACACCACCATCTATCACTCACCAACACACCACCATCTATCACTCACCAACACACCACCATCTATCACTCACCAACACACCACCATCTATCACTCACCAACACACCACCATCTATCACTCACCAACACACCACCATCTATCACTCACCAACACACCACCATCTATCACTCACACAAACACCACCACATCTATCACTCACCAACACACCACCATCTATCACTCACCAACACACCACCATCTATCACTCACCAACACCACCCACCATCTATCACTCACCAACACACCACCATCTATCACTCACCAACACACCACCATCTATCACTCACCAACACACCACCATCTATCACTCACCAACACACCCACCATCTATCACTCACCAACACACCACCATCTATCACTCACCAACACACCACCATCTATCACTCACCAACACACCACCATCTATCACTCACCAACACACCACCATCTATCACTCACCAACACACCACCATCTATCACTCACCAACACACCACCATCTATCACTCACCAACACACCACCATCTATCGCTCACCAACACACCACCATCTATCACTCACCAACACACCACCATCTACCTCTCACCAACACACCACCATCTATCACTCACCAACACACCACCATCTATCACTCACCAACACACCACCATCTATCACTCACCAACACACCACCATCTATCACTCACCAACACACCACCATCTATCACTCACCAACACACCACCATCTATCACTCACCACAACCACAACCACCATCTATCAGCTCACCAACACACCACCACCATCTACCTTCACCAACACACCACCATCTATCGCTCACACACACACCACCATCTATCGCTCACCAACACACCACCATCTATCGCTCACCAACACACCACCATCTACCTCTCACCAACACACCACCATCTATCGCTCACCAACACACCACCATCTATCGCTCACCAACACACCACCATCTACCCTCACCAACACACCACCATCTATCCTCACCAACACACCACCATCTATCACTCACCAACACACCACCATCTATCGCTCACCAACACACCACCATCTACCTCTCACCAACACACCACCATCTATCGCTCACCAACACACCACCATCTATCGCTCACCAACACACCACCATCTATCGCTCACCAACACACCACCATCTACCTCTCACCAACACACCACCATCTACTCTCACCAACACACCACCATCTATCGCTCACCAACACACCACCATCTATCTCACCAACACACCACCATCTACTCTCACCAACACACCACCATCTATCCACCACCAACCACACCACCATCCTATCCACATCACTCAACACACCACCATCTATCACTCACCAACACACCACCATCTATCACTCACCAACACACCACCATCTATCCTCACCAACACACCACCATCTACACTCACCAACACACCACCATCTATCACTCACCAACACACCACCATCTATCGCTCACCAACACACCACCATCTACTCTCACCAACACACCCACCATCTATCCACTCACCAACACACCACCATCTATCACTCACCAACACACCACCATCTATCACTCACCAACACACCACCATTTATCACTCACCAACACACCACCATCTATCACTCACCAACACACCACCATCTATCACTCACCAACACACCACCATCTATCACTCACCAACACACCACCATCTGTCACTCACCAACACACCACCATCTATCACTCAGCAACGCACCACCATCTATCACTCACCAACACACCACCATCTATCACTCACCAACACACCACCATCTATCACTCAGCAACGCACCACCATCTATCACTCACCAACACACCACCATCTATCACTCACCAACACACCACCATCTGTCACTCATCAACACTGCACCATCTGTCACTCACCAACACACCACCATCTATCACTCACCAACACACCACCATCTATCACTCACCAACACACCACCATCTATCACTCACCAACACACCACCATCTATCATTCACCAACACACCACCATCTATCACTCACCAACACACCACCATCTATCATTCACCAACACACCACCATCTATCACTCAGCAACGCACCACCATCTATCACTCACCAACACACCATCACTTACCAACACACCACCATCTATCACTCACCAACACACCACCATCTATCAACAACACACCACCATCTATCAACAACACACCACCATCTATCAACAACACACCACCATCTATCAACAACACACCACCATCTATCAACAACACACCACCATCTATCAATAACACCTCTGGTCACACTCCCAGCACGTCGGGTGGAGACAGAAGCGTGTCTTGGTCTACAATCTGTTGGCCACATCAGAGCCACACCCACGCGTCCCATCCTCCTCTCCGTCACCAGGACACGCCCAACAGAACAGGTCAGTCGCTTTTGTGGTTCTAGAGACAACCAAAAGAGCAGGTAAGCCTCCGTGCCGGCTCTAAGCATTACTAATAGAGCAGTGCAATTTTTTCCGCTAGTTCTAGGTAACACGTACCTTAATATCTACCTTGATGACTATAGAATCAGTGGTTGGCGAACGTTTTTTGGCTATTTCCCCAAAACAAATTTGTGTACAGCTTACCCACTAGACTAAAAAATTATTTGTTTGAAAAAATATAACTTTCATAATTTGCCTCGCTTACTAAATTATATATTTTTGCAATTTTATTTATATTTTTTCTTGAGTCTCCATTGCCCCCGAAATTTTCATTTTTACTCTATTTGAGGTAATTTACCCAGGTTCCCCGACCTCTGCGTCTAGATAAAACTAATAAAAGCTGAGTGTCTTTGCTAACTTTTCACACTAACTATAAACACGACCAACACACCACGTCAGCTTTTAAATATGACTCTTCGCTGCCTCAAGCTGCAACGTTTAAAACCCATGCCTCACGCTCAGCAGTGTTGGTTCCACTGTACTGTACTATACAGTCTTTAACAAAGGGTATATTACACTCCATATAATGTACTTTTCGTTAATTTATTGTAATTAATATTTCAAAGTCTTTATGTTATTAATGTATCCTTAGAACTCTGAGTATCATATTACGTAATAAAGTACACTTACACACTAATTAATACATTTATGAAATATGATGTTGTAGAAATAGAATATTCAAATCACGTCAGGGTGACATATAATATTTTTGGTGCAAGCATCTTCGTCTTCTGCCAGCCTACACCTCCCAACAGTTGCATTAAAGGCATAATAACCATAGTGGAAAAAATAATGAAATTCCAAGAGCTTAACTAATACCTCACATTATCAAGGAAATCACGAAAGAGCTTGGAATTTTGCTATTTTTTTCAATGTAGTTATTTTATATATTGTAATATCACCGGTTTAACCCTAATATTATAATATATAATATATATATATATATATATATATATATATATATATATATAAATATATATATATAATATATATATATATATATACATACATACATACATACATAAGATTAAACAGTTGATACAACTAGTGATAATTTTGCGTGTTGTGTATATATAGATAGGAAAAACATTTTTAAATGCTTTTATCTTTTCTTTTTAAATATCTTCATTAAACGATAAAAGGTCTCTCTACATATTTTAAACATGAATAAAGGCAGAGTATTACTGAAGATACCGTGTATATATGTGTATTCCAGGTGGTGTGGGAGTCCATCTGTCTGCCTCGCGCCTCAGACCTGCTGGTACGTCCTGGTGACGTTATCATACTGGCACCACGTTGACTTCACCCCGCTGCCTGCCGCAAGCCACAATACGTGCCCCGGGGTGGGGGTATTAAAGATGGGGGTAAAGGGGCATTAACATCTTCAACCTCTACAGCAAAGAAGTAAATCAGTTTGAGAAGCTCGCCATGGGAGGATAATTTAATTCTCTGCTCTCATACATCAAGTGTGTCATCTTTATAGAATAAAATATCCATCAACCGCGCGTGTTATTCTGATATTTGACTCAACAGTTATATCAAAAAGATAAAAAAAAAAAAAAGTCTGTAAATTTTATGCCAAATTATATCCAGCTTAACAGTGTTGTGTGGTTTTCCTTCTGTCAAAAATCCTTTCGAAGATATCGTGAGTTTTTACGCACTGCCACTGTTTATGTCAAGATAAATAACAAAGTTTAAAAAATAAATAAATGTCTAGACCAAACAAAGTGTCCCTTAGAACGAATTTGCTGAAATTTCTTGCTCATTTCTGCAGCTTTGCAACCTCCTGATGATGGGGTGATTGCAACACGAAAGGCCTAGAGCTATTATTCATCTCTCTCCGTGGTCGTTTTGATATATATATATATATATATATATATATATATAATATATATATATATATATATATAAATATATATATATATATAATATATATATATGTAGAGGAGTTGAATATATTCAGATATTTGAGAGTGGACGTGTCAGCAGATGGGTCTATGAAAGATGGGGTGAATCATAGAATTGACGAGGGGAAAAAAGTCATTGGTGCACTGAGGAGTCTGTGGAGACAAAGAACTTTATCCACGGAAGCAAAGAGGGAAATGCATGAGAGCATAGTTATACCAACACTCTTGTATAAGTGTGAAGCATGGGTGGTGAATGTTGCAACGAGGAGAAGGCTGGAGGCAGTGGAGATGTCGTGTCTGAGGGCAATGTGTGGTATGAATATAATGTAGAGAATCCGTAGTTTCTAGATTAGGAGATGTGGGATTACCAAAACAATTATCCAGAGAGCTGAGGAGGCGTTGTTGAGGCGGTTTGGACATACAGAGAGGACGGAACAAAATAGAATGACTTCTAGAGTATAAATCTGTAGTGGAGGGGTGGCGGAGTAGGGGTCAGCCTAGAAAAATTTGGAGGGAGTATAGGAGGTTTTGTGTGCGAGGGGCTTGAACGTCCAGGAAGCATGTGTGAGCGTGTTAAATAGGAATAAATGGAGACAAATGTGTTTTAGGACTTGATGTGCTGTTGGAGTGTGAGCATGGTAACATTTATGAAAGGATTCAGGAAAACCGGCAGGCCGGACTTGAGTCCTGAAGATGGGCAGTACAGTGCCGGCATTCTGAAGGAGGGGTGGTAATGTTGCAGTTTTATAACTGTAGTGTAAGCGCGCCGCTGGCAAAGCAGTGATAGGGTGAATGATGAAAGTTTTTCTTTCTCGGGCCACCCTGCCTTGGTGGGAAACGGCCGATGTGTTAATAAATAAATATATTTGGTAAGCATCAGGTGCGGTGGTAGCAGCAACAGCTCCTGCTACAGAATATGTCAACAACACACTCTGGGCTACACCTGCCACTCTGCTGAAAATTATTTAGATCTGTTTAATAGCATAAGTGTGCAAATTTGTGGCCAGTGTACAAATTTGAGTATGTACCGAGAAAGATATTCCCGCATTTCATAACCGCAGTTTCTTAGACAATGTACGTAATAAGAACAGTGTAGAGTGCGGCATAGATTTGTAATGCAGGTTAATATTAACGTTGAAGATTAGAAGCGAATCATAAAGGGTATTCAAAGTTACCGCACGGAAGCTAGCATCCAAACTTCTTCAATAAATATGACAAATTAGGACATACACAGCCCAGCCCTAATTCTAATTTTCCGCTACGTAACACCAGCTTGGAAGCTAAACTGAAGAGACATCCTCATGTTATCTCAGAGACCAATTTTCCAAAATACACCAGCACATAAAGTTTGATGCTGCTCGGAAGCTGCATTCTCAAGGTATCAGAAAGGTCGAAGTCACCGCAAGAAACACTTAATTTTTCCATTTTTTTCCATACAAAGGGAAATTGAGAGTTGCATATACCAAAATAAAATAAATCTGTTTCCTAAGTAAGAGTTAACAGAGCTTAAGGAATAATTAAGCAAGTAATTGTTATTTAGGTTTAACTGAATATTTAATTTTTACAATAGTCTTGGGAGGACACAGATGTTATGTACACATTAAAGTATACAAATTTAACTTAAGATAACCTAATGAAGTTAAAACCTGACTTATTTCTGATCAGAAGAGACATTCTTCAACACGAGTGTTATTAAGATTTGATGATACTGGTGTAAAGTTTGAAGACTATCTTCAACACGAGTGTTATTAAGATTTGATGATACTGGTGTAAGGTTTGACATTAAAACTTAATGGTTATTTCACAAAAACTAGTTTAATTAATAAAACCGGCCCAATAAAACAAAACCTAAAATCAAGAGGAATGTTTCTTTGCGGGGAGGAAATAGTATCAACACAAAAAGTTTGAAGCCGACCAGTAAATGCAATCTATAGTTGTTGTACTGAATCCAACGAAAAAAATTTGCACTTACGCAGCCTAAATTCTAAACATGTTTCATCTATTTGATGACATTCATCAGTCATTAAAAATTTATTCTGATCAGAATATTTTAATCGGAAGAAGTGCTAAACCCGTAAGGGTTTAGCACTTCTTCCGATTTCGATGCGTGGGAGGCATCGAGATACAGTCCAAGGAAAGGAGGGGGGTAAGTATAATTCCTTGGATCAAGAACCACTCACCAGCATCAAGGTACTCTCTGGGAGGAGGAATACTCTAGTTATTTGATGCAAAATTTTACCGTATCATTTCGAAATTAAATGTTGGGAAAACTAACCCAACACACTCCATTAAAGACACACAGGTACACTCCATTAACAATAGTGACCTTCTAAGACACACAGGTACACTACAGAAAGTTAATCTCAATTCACTGGAGGAGGACCTTGATGTCCTCCTCCATTTAGAGTAAAGAAGTTCATTATATTTCCTCAAGGATGAAAATCATACTCAATAACCAAGACTGACCGAGGTAATGGTATGGAATCCTCGATGTGGAAATTTACTCGGAGGAAAAGTCTGGGATCCAGACGACTTGATGTTCGTATACGAACTAAATGATACGTAGATTTTCCTTAATTCGGGAAACCTCAAGGACAACTTGTGTGACATATTTACTTACCTTACTGATGGTGACTTAGCTGTCACTTGACGAGCTGTTAACTTTCACTTATCTGGAAGGTAAACAATTATATTGATTAATATAAGTGTGCCAGCTGCAATTATACCATTCAGCTTATACCACATACAAGTACCCCCGGTTATACCCTTCAGAATGTACCTTTAAGAGGTATCCCAGTTATACCCTCCAGCCTGCACTTCATACAAATATTTCAGAATATATTTTAAAAAATTTTAACGACTGTTTACTTGTGTGATAAGTAATTCTCACCTTCCCATGATGGTAGAAGATGACTGGCGTAGCCAGGTGGTGCTGCAGTCCAGGTGGTGCTGCAGTCCAGGTGGTGCTGGAGTCCAGGAGATGCTGGAGTCCAGGAGATGCTGGAGTCCAGGAGATGCTGGAGTCCAGGAGATGCTGGAGTCCAGGAGATGCTGGAGTCCAGGAGATGCTGGAGTCCAGGAGATGCTGGAGTCCAGGAGATGCTGGAGTCCAGGAGATGCTGGAGTCCAGGAGATGCTGGAGTCCAGGAGATGCTGGAGCCCAGGTGGTGCTGGTGTCAAGTTTCATCAGCAAATACCTATCGTCAACACTTTTCAATCGTCAACACTTTTCAATCGTCAACACTTTTGCGGTCTCCATGAATACCACAAAAACAAACACTTGTTACAAACACATACCTTTTTTTTTCTAGCCAGTACCACGTGATGCCACTTTCCTATATTACCCTTAAAGAAAATGACTTAGGTACCCCGATCGTTGCAACACTTCACCCACACGCCTCGTCAACACATTAGGGTACACCATAACTAGGCACGGTATATGCACACAGTACTATATTAAGTGTTTATAAACACTTATTCATATTGAAGGGGGTTAAATCCTTTATTGTTAATTAGTTGGTTTGGTTTATTAGGATTAATGTCTATCAAATACACAAGTGCCTTTAAGGCTGTATGTCCCCCGTTATCCCAGTCAACGGTGCTGTGATCACTAGAGTCAGAATTCAGTCAAAACTAAAGTTACATACACAGTAAAACAATTCTCGGTATATATAACCTTCTTATTGTAGAGTATTGGGTGTGATGACCCTGCTACAAACCCACCCCGCTCGCTAAAGTCCTTGAAGTCCAGTTCTCCAGTTTCGAAGCCGCTCATGAACTGTTGCTGCTGCTTCACTGAGTCACAACTGACCAATCTCATGAATCTTTTCACCCTTTAAACCCACGTTTAACTCTATTTACCAATTTTATATATATATATATATATATTTTATATATTTTATTATTATATTTTTATATATATATTATATTTTATATATATATTATATATATATATAAAATATTATATATATATGTAACACCGCAGGTTTATTACATCATGCTTCATGGAACATGATGATGAGTTTGTGGTTTATCAGCTTTTAACAGGTTACTTGCATGTAAAACTCAGTTCCTTTCATTCAAAACACAATAGTTGTCTATCGGTACTTCCAACAAATTTACTGCAATTTAATCACAGAGCGGGTGGGACTCGAACTCACGTCAAGGGGAGTCTTGAAACTTCCGCGTTAGTGCATAACAATGAGCCTGACCACTCAGTGATTTTTCTTTTATAAATGGTTTTAGAAAAAAAAAGTTGACCAATGAGACTCTGTTTTTTTTATCAAGATTGATGGACTGAAGACATCGACTCCAGGCTGAGGGGCTGATTACCTTAAACTCCTCAAATTTTCCCATCGTTCTCTGCTTTGTACTGAAGAAGCCACTGGCTGGCGAAGTGCTTCTAGAACTTTACCCAGATGTTGCACAAGTGTTTAATTTATCAACCAAGGTGGTATTGAGCTTTCAGATGATGTTGAGCTTAGACACAGCTCTCGCTTCACTGGCGACGAATGCTACGGACATAGACACCAGAATTCGGGAACACCAGCGTGTTGAGGGTCTCAAACACACCCTAGACTGCGTCATACATCAGGCTAAATAGGCATACCTTATGGCATTAACAGATACCAGACTTAAGATTAAAGAAGACTGCACATCGAGAAGACGGTGCCTGGGAT